GCATCGCAGTTGTCATCACTGTCAACAGAAGCAGAAACAACGATGTCACCTCCATAAACAATATCATTAATCATCATCAATCGCAGTAGCAGCAGTGACAGGTCATCCCTGCGCGGTGCCATGTGGCTAGGTGGGAAGTGATAGTCCAGCAGTTGGCGTGCTGCCCTAAAAACCTGGCTACCTGAGTTCGATTCCAGCTCATGGGTACCACCACCAGTGACGATTATCTGAACCGGTTCTGGGCCTCCCCTAGGTCGACTCTGGTATAGTGTGTAAACATTACTACTGGGGAGACAAAGGCGGCCGGGCGTGGTGTTGGCTACCCACCCCCTCATGTGCCGTTCCAGCCTTCATAGGCGCTCGCTAACAGCACTTGCCTTTGGTGATCACACGGGGTGCAGCGGTAAACTCGAAAATTAAAACAATCCATCTCGCTCCTGCGCATAAACTTATCTCATCACTCCATCTCCATGGTGGGCTTACTTTTAGGCACGTTCCATAACCAGTCTCATTCCTTGACCATCATCCCTTATGGCAATGTGTCCTGCCCAATTCTACTTACTATTTGTAACGGTCCACACGATGTCTCTAATTTACATTTGTTCTCTGATCCATGCGTTCCACTTTCATCTCTTTAAGTGAATGTCGAGGCATACATCATTCCTCAATACTTTGCATGGTTTTCTTACCCTGCCTCCAATATACAAAGACAAAGATCCCCCCGTATAGCCTTAACAAAATGTTCGGGGCAAGTGTTGTTAGCGAGCACACGAGGGGGTGGGTGGTCAGCACCACCCCCTCGTGCCAATGTTTACACACTGCAGCAGGTACTCATTTGAGGCTGAATTGACCTAGGGGAGGCCCAGTACCGGTTCATATAATCGTCACTGGTGTTGGCCATGAGCGGGAATCGAACTCGGGGCGCCGTATTCACAGCGCAGTGCGCTAACCACTGCGTCACCGTTCCCCACAACAACAACAACAACCGCCATTCGCCACTAAGTGGCGGTGACGTCACCACGGCGCTTGTGCCAGGCTATGTGCACGTTGAGGCCACATTCATTGCCACTTTAGCCAGGTAGTTGGTGGCGGCTATGCACGTGGCCTGTAATCCAGCACTGTGGAGGCGGATAGGGTGGATGGGTCACATCGATGAGGTGCCATACCCTGGCTCGTCAGGAGAGGGGTGGTACAGCAAATGTGGACTCGACTTGTTCCATCTGTGTGAGTTAGATTGTTGCCCCCTTCACGAGCGTGGGTTTTTCTCCCACATGGATAGAACACACTCATTAATTGGGCCGACAATACCTTAGTATACAGAGGACCGCAGAGCTTGGGGGAGAATTTGGCGCTGGCTCGCCGCGTGGCTGCCTTGCCCGCTAGCCTGGCTCCCTCGCGCCCCTGGGTCCGTTCTCGCCCTTCAAGAGTTGAGCGACGACTGCACGGCACGTTACAAGTAGTGAAGTCGTTTGTATTATTATCACAATGGCACTTTTGACATTTCTCGCAAGCAATCGGCGTTTTATCAGCAGCGCCCACCAACTGCTCAGGAGTTCTCGGTGCTTCTGCCGGGGTTCCGCCCGTCTGTCTGAAATCCGTACGTTAGGTGCAGCGTCCCGTTGACACGGGCAGGCAGCAAAGGCGGCAGGTGGCAGAGCCAGCTGGGGAAGATGGATTAAGCGGGTCACTGGATCTGGGTGGCGTCCAAAGGACAGGCGAGTGGGTGGGCGGTCAGACGGGCAGTCTGCCCGGTATCTGCTCTCCTCAAAACGAAGGGAATTGAATCCGCGTCTCTCGCAGTGTCCTTCGGCTCAGGATCGGGATCTCATCTTCGTTGTCATGATGTGGGAAGAAATAACTATGTATCAGCCTGTTTTTACCGTCGGTAAACCGCAGCTGGGGGAGCGGTGCTGCGGAGGGGGGCAGGCGGGCAGAGCGCTGCGTTACGAACCCAAGTGGCCCGAGTTCATTTCCCGGGCCTAAAATCAGTGGTGAGTGGTGTCTGAACTTTAAAGGACTTCCACTTGGCCTTAAAGGAGTAACTAGTGCGGGAAGTAAACATCGCCGCTGAGAGGCCGCGTTTGGCTTTCACCGGCATCACTCGCTCGTGTGCCGAGACGGCTTTAACAGGTGTTCGCTAACAGCACTTCCAACCAACAAACTTCAAGGCTGTGTAGGGGGTTCTTTGTGCGTGCGTCTCTGTGTGTGCGTGCACGCGTCTAGCCTAGAGGAGAGCGGTAGTGCGGTGGTTAACGTGCTGCGCTATAAACTCGGCAACTCGAGTTCGATTCCCACTCGCGGCCGCCAACACCAGTGGCGACTATCAGAACCGGTCCTGGACCTCTCCTTGCTCGACTCAGCCTCAAATGAGTACCTGGTGCGATGTGTAAACATAGTGTGCCGTGGTGACCTTCATAGGTGCTCGCTAACAGCACTTGCCCTAACAGTCTGTTGAGGCAATAGGGGGCATATTAGACTTTGTTTTTACATCTAGCCTAAACCAAACTCTCCCCACGACATACATACATACACATTAGGCAACAATTGATGTGTTGCCTTTGGAACTATTTGCATTAAGTGCTTGGAGCTCATTGTGATTCTCAATCTGCTTGTGAAGCCATCTAACCGTGCACTGTCACTGTCTGGCACTCAGTGGCATGTATTTAATCTTGCAGGAGCACCGGCGGTGCTGGCATGGCTGTCGTCGTCACACGCATCTTTGCCCACGCTGTTGTTGTTGTTGTCCATAGCACATGTGATCCCGGAGGGACACGAAGCATCGCCCGACCAATTCTCCACCCGTGCTGGCGCGTCGTGTTCAAGAGTTGAACCCCGGTTCGCCGGGGATCGTGTTGTGCAGCTCGCTCGCCATAACCGCCGTGACACCACCTCTCAAACAAAATAGAGATCCCCCGTGTAGCCTTAACAGACTCGTGGGGCAAGTGCTGTTCCGAGAGTAGCACCTACGAAGGTCAGCACGGCACACGATGGGGGGTGGTTAGCCTGCACAACGCACGGCCCACCTTCGTCTCCCTGGCGGCAATGTATTCACATCGCGCCACGGTGCTCGTTTGAGGCCGACTCGTCCTAGGGGAGCTCCAGGAGCGGTTTCAGATAACGGTTACTGGTGCTGGTCGTGAGCGGGAATAGAACTCGCGTCGCTGGGGTTTTGCAGCGCAGCGCTGACCGCTACGCTGGCGCCTCGCGAGCGCAGGCGCCAGCGGGTGCAGCGTTGGCGGCTGACTTGAGAATAGCGTGCCGCGCGGGCTTTTTAAATAAGTCGCTATCGACGGCGCGTCTCGCATGGAGGGCTCGCTTATAAATGGACAATTTAGCCGTGCGGCACACGCTTGCATCTCCCAGAAAATCAGCCGGGCCTCGATCGACTTATAAATAACGCTTTGCCTTCGGGTTTTTTTTTTGTTTGTTTTGTTTATCAGCCTAAGGGGGGGGGAGCGTCGTGGTCCCCGGCATAACGGCGTTGGGATGTAAACGGCAGATTAACGGGGCGGGCGGGCGGACGGACGGACAGATGCTGTGCTCGCTCGCTATGAGTCACAATGAGGAATCGGACTGTACGTTTTCACAAGCAGTGGCTGCCTTTCAAGCAGCTGGTAACAACGCTAAGCGGTCTGGGTGGGGATGTGTTATATTGGCCCGGCAGGTTTAGTGTTGGTGATTTCTTTTATGTTTGCACGCTTTGTTTTCATTCGTTGTCGTCTGCCAGGTGAGTCTTTGGTTCACGCGCTTGAACAGGACGCACGGTTCTTTAAGTCCCATCCTCTCCTCGTTCTGCGACCTAGACATGCATCCATACTCTTTGGTTCTTTCGGTAAAGTCACGTAGGTAGAAAAATAATAGACCACGACGTTTCGATAGCAACACGAGCCATCGTCCTCAGGTGAAACAATACAGCAGGCTCACTGCCACAGGACGATTGCTTGTGTTGCTATCGCAACGTCGTGATTGATTATTTTTCTACCTACGTGACTTTACCGAAAGAACCAAGGAGTATGGATTCCTGCAGTCACGAAAGCTTCAAATCAAGATTAGAGATGCGTCGTTGGTGGCGGGTGCTGTTAGCGAGCACCTATTAAGGCCAGCTCGGTGATTAAGCCGGTTTCTCGTGCGAATGCGAAGATAAGCATACGTGTGTGTGTTTGTTTGGCTTGGTGTGGGGAGCGTTAGTGCCGTGGTTAGCGCTGCAGTGCACTACACTGTGAACCCAGCGACCCGAGTTTCATTTCCCGCTCATGCTCAACATCGGTGACGAAGATTTGAAACGAACTTTTGCCTCCTCTAGATCTGCTTAGCCTAAAATGAGTATCCTGCGGTGTGTGTGCACATCAGCTTTTGAGAGACAGAGGTGGCCGGGCGTGGTGCTGACTACCCCACTCCTCGTGTGTCGTGCCGGCCTTAAAAGGAGCTCGCTAACCGAACTTGCCCCGACAGTCTGTTAAAGCCGGGCGGTGGTGTTTCATGCAACACCTGCAATGCAACACTGTGGAGGCAAGGGTTGCTGGATCGCACAAATCTTGTTAAACTCCCTTGCCCGTGGGCGTTCAGGTACCATGCCCTGGCTCGCCTGGAGGAGGCAGTACAGGAACGTGCAGGCTTACAGCCATCTGTTCCATCTGTATGGGATAAAGTGTCGCGCTCTCGCACGTATTGGTTTTCTCCGGGTGCTCTGGCTTCCTGCCACGTGTAAATTTTCATTAATTGCCTGATAACACCTTAATAAGTAGAGGACCACCGAGCTTGGGCAATCGTCGGTAGCGCCGGCTCACTTGCCAGCTGCTGCCTACCCCGCTCATCCGTGGTCTCTCTTCGCGCCTCCGAGTCGCTCCCTCTCTTCGAGAACGAGCGAACGCACTGTGCGGGCGGCCGCGGGACGTTACAAGTTGACGTGATCGTTATTATGAATAATAAAGTGCGCACCGGGGGATCTTTGTCTCCGTTTGTTTGGTTGGGGTTGCTCGTGATGACCGCCCGGCGAGCAGGTGTTCTTCCGCACGCCGGACGACCTTCCCATCGCCATCCTGCAGGTGGACGTGGAGCCCCAACCTCCCCTCGTCAACGAGATGTTCCGCTTCTGCCAGCCGGAGCTCACCATCCTCAAAAAGACGATCCGCTTGCCCGCGTGGCACAGCTTCTCAGGTGCCAGTGCCCCTGCTCCTCCTCGCCTTCCCCTCCGCCCAACTCTCCCTCCTCATCATCATCAAACTCATAATGATAATAACAACAATAGTTATATTATCGTGCCCCTTGGTTTGTGTAGGAATGGCTCGCTGAGGCTCAATAATTGATTTCAGGAGGGGAGGGCCTTCTACCTTGGGATGTCATACCCAGTTATATTCATTGAGCGTGTGCTTTGCGTGCGGGAGGAATCGAAGAGTGTCTGGAGAAAACCCACCACACCTATGAGGTGGGGGATATCACCAGAATGTTGTGCACGGGTAGATTCAAGGATCGATCGACCGATTCCTGCGTTGCCGTCCCATGCTGGCCACTCGCAGCAGCCCACAGGCTTGGGAGTTTCACAGATGTCATGTGATCCACCAGCCCTCGCCTGCATACAGAGTGATTGATCGCAGACGTGCTACATGATCTGTCTTTTACCGACGGAACCAGATCACGGATTTTATGTTCTGTGTTGAATCGGACCTGGATCTTGTGTTTATTCAGGATTTTGGAGATCTTATTTGATGTGGTTCCAGACATACAGTAGCCGGGCGTCTATAAACTAAGTTGCCTCTGTGGTAGCAGCTATATTGGAGAAACCAAACGCCATATCTCGGACCGCATCCGTGAACATAAAGCAGACTTGAAACACGGTAGGACGAACACCTCAGCCGTGGCAGATCACTGTTATAATTCAGTAGGCTCACATGACATTGACTTCTCCAAGACGGAGGTTCTCTGCAAGCCATCCGGCTACCATGAGAGATTCGTTCATGAGGCCATCCACATATACAACCACAGAGACAATTTCAACCGAGAAGATGGATTCTGGCTTAGTAACCATTGGAAAGACGTTATAAACCATTTCGGTTCTTGATTGATTGTAATTTTATGGTGACTTTCAGACCGCAGTCCATTCGCTGGCACTGCCTCTTGTACCTTTCACACGACGGTCAATGGTATAGTTTATAGCATGTTTTATAATAATAAAATAGTATAACAGTGTAATGTTTAACATAATTCATAAGGCAATATATAGTTTCGTAATTGTATAGTGAATATATAGCAGTGTGGTACACAGTAGGGTTGGTAGAATAATACATAGTGTAATATTACAAGTCTAATATTTTATAGTCTAAAGTATAGGGTAGTGTATAGTAACGCATTGTATAATTCAAGGGTGGAGTTTGTCTATGGCAGTGTATATTAGTGTTTAGTCGTGTAATTTAGAAAAAAGTTTAGTTGGAGGCATATCAATATAATGCATAATGTTAGAGCTTACATTGGGCTGTGTATACGATATTATACAATGTAGTTTAGATTGGAAGGTAAAATATTGTAATGTATAGTAGTCTAGTTTATAGCATAGTTGTAACTCAACACAGGACAGAGCAGCGCATCGTTGCTGTTTCTTCTCTCCCCCCTACTCCGTTCCGAGCATAGATGGACTCGTCCATCTGAACAAAGCTCGTCGCTTTCCGTGGTGCTAACCACAGTGGCGCTAACGTTGAAACGATGAAAGAAACCGCCACTTTTTCCGACATAGTTCCGACATAGTTACGTGCTAATCCCGCACACTAGCATCATGCTAATCCCCCAGTTACATGCTTATTTCTGACTTTAACATCATGCTAATCCAACACATTAACATAGCTACTTCAATGCTAAATTCATCTGTTGATATGTAAACTCCTTGGTCAAGGCGCTCTGCTCCTCCCACCCAGCTTAAAAGACGCGGCCAAAGCTTGGCTGTGTTCACTGAAGCGCTGTCTTCCCGACAGTTCTGTCTCTTCACCTGAGGAAGGCTACTTGTGCTGTGGCCGAAACGTCGTGAGAATTTTTATTTTGTTATGTTTTATTTTTATTATTTTATTTCAATTCTACGTGACTTTACCGAAAGAACCAAGAAGCTGACACCCACACCACCTCAACGCGACAATGCTTCATCGTTGTCATGATGATGATGACCTAATGGGATTTAATCGCATTCATAAACGAGAACCAAAAAGAGGCATCTCACAAAGCACACACATTACAAAAACAAACTTTTAACTAGAGCAGGGCGCTGTAACCTGGCAGGCAATGAGGAGCCATACAAAAAAAAACTTCTTGCTTTCATAATGAGAGTTAAGGGTTAAAGGACAAGGGGTTAAAGTGAACGGTTGGAGGGTAACCGCGTTCACTGCTTTTTGCTGTTAAGTTCGTTGTCCTGCACCCGCGCCTCTGATTAGCAACGGTTGGCTACGCACGGTGCGAAAGAAGTTCAACATGCATACGTACGTAAGGTAGTTGAATCTGTCGGGCGCGTGACGATTAACCCCCGATGAATCGGTGCGGTTGTACTGTCCAGTTTCTGCGGTTCGTCTCGCGCCTTTCTGTCCTGTTTGTCCTTCCTCACTTGGCTGGCTGATTTATTCTGTCTCGTATAGTCTGCCTCATTCGTTCCATAAACCTAAAGGTGCGTTCGCATAAAATGTCCACATTTGCACCTCCGGTTAGCGCGGTTGGCTACGTACGGTGCAAGAGAAGTGGAACATGCGTACGTATAGTTTGCATTGCATTGTAAAATACGCAATTCTCACATGTGCAATTTGACACTTGCATTTGCTCGCTTTTTCATGATCATCATCACGATTCATGGGCAGAGAGCCCATAGGTGTCCACTACACATTTCGTCATTTGTTTTCTACTTTCCTCTGTCTTGTGCCAATTTGCTGAAGGAGTGGCCACGTCTTTTTGGCACCAATCTCTCACGATGTCGTCGTCATCGTCAAGCCATCCTCTGTTAGGTCTTCCTCTCTTTCCGGGTTCCTTCCATTTTTCCAAACAGCACACTTTGAATGTCCCTGTTGTCCATCCTCACCTAATACCCCATTTTTATTGCTCAATCGCTACAATCCTATTACAGGTAGCGCTTGAAGCTCTGGGGTTCATTTGGATATCAATGTGAAAATATTGGCTGGCAAAATAATAAATAATTCTACGTGAAAACATTACCCGGGGGAGCCTTGGCCGACTCCTCGTCGGCGCGAACACCTTGTTTTGAAACGCGCGGGGTCTCGCCATGCAGCCTTCAATATCGCTCCCACGCTCGAGTCGAATTTCCTGCTCAGTGGACTGTCGTCTCAGGCGCGTTCCAGCCTTTGACTGCCATTGCGTTGTTATCCTCGCCCACCGGCCATCGTCACTTCCAGCGACACAGTCAATCCCGAGTCCACTTCATTTCGTAACAGTCAGAGAAAAGACTCGGACGTGTATTGTTTCGGGCGGTGCGACCCATGGAGTTAATCGGCCCAAGACCGTCACAGCCCAAGACCGTCAAGACTGACGGTCAATGTGAAATCTCGAACTTGTTCCATAATAATGAGTTGCATTATAAAGCACTTTTATACTCGGTGCTCGAGGCGCCGTACATCACAAGGAATATATCGTGGGCCGAGGTGAGGAAAAGCCAAGAAGACGGAGAGAAGCTGATTCAGAGAACCGGAAACGAGAGAAAAAAAATGCGCGTTGAGGCGGGGTTTAAACGTCGTTTATCGGTCTCTCAAGTGTAAATATCAATGTGAGTATAAATGTGTCGTAACCCTCCACCACCCGACACAGCCAATTAGTAAGGGATTTGTCACGTAAACAAAATGCCAATTAGTTACTACTTCAGCCCATCGGTGTGTTGGAGAGCAAATGTACTCTTTAATTGGCTGTGTCGGGTGGTGGAGGGTTCCGGCACATTGTATGCTTCCGCGATCTAACCCAAAAACCTTTATTATGAATAATATTGGCCGCGAAAGCCCTCGGTGTCAAAGTCACTTTAGTGGCGGGCAAGCCCTCCGAGGCGCCACGGCATGAAGGGCGCCGTATCAAACACCTACCAAAAAAAATTGCGAAGAAGGCAATGCGTCTCCAGGTGTGTATCTGTCTGTCAACATGAATTTAACAATGAAAATTGTGCAACCTTCTGGCCGTGGGGCTGATGGTATACCATGCGTAACATTGACCTGCACGAGGACGTGAATGATTTTTCAGCGCTGCGTACCATCGGAAACTACTTCCTTGTTGCGCTCGCGCTGGTCGTCAATTCTCCCCCCAACCGCGTTGAGCCAACGTCTGGACATCTGTGAAAAAAAATGGCTTCAGAGCTCATCGGATTACCTCCAGTATAAATAAAATAAATGTTTTGATTTTGAAAGCGACGCGTAAGTGCGTTTGGGTCGAAAGTGAGTTCGATTTATAATCAGCAAAAACTGCTTCTCCTTTAGACGGCGCCGCTTAACGGCCCTTGTCTGCCAGCGCATCGTTGATGATAGCCTCTCACCCGTGCCGTATCACGATCGTGGCCCACGGTAGGCACCCTGTGCCGTTTGGTAAGCTGCAGGCTATCCGGCGCAAGAGCTCGAGTGAAAATTGACAGCGTTCGCGTATTTTTAGAAAGCGCATTGCTTTTTTTTTTGCGGGCACCCTGAAAATAGGCGCTTTTTGCCAATTAAAAGCGGGGCTGCAATTAACGACTCTGATTTCTTAATTAGGGTAACAAGCTCAATTGCTATCGGGGAGTCTAAGTTTAACGTGCAGCCCACTGGCATTGATTTGGGACGCCGCGGCTCCCCGTCGCATGCCGTGCGTCAGCGGCCGATCACGTGGGGCGCCGTGTGGACTGAACGCCGCGTACACCCATAGGCGAAATGCTGGATGGCCAGCGAGAGGGGGAAGGCGGGTTCAGAGTTTTGCCGACTCCGCTGGCCTACACGATTCACGCCCGCAATCCGGCAATTTGTGTTGTGTGGTTGATCTCGTTACGTCTTGGGAGTATATACACACACATCGGGCGGGGGGGCAGCACTTTCCCACCTCGGAAGCTAAGCAGAGTTGAGTCTGGATAGTGCCCACAGATGAGAGACCCACCCGTGCATTCCAGGTTGTTATAGGCTGCTACTGCCGCAGGGCTGTAGTTGGGCAGCAGAGTCCAATCCATAAGAGGTTTTTTTTGGGGTTGTTCGCGAAAGCCTACGTGTTAAATTGAGCAGAGTGCAATGCATCAAAATCCAGTGTTGTACTGTATTTGCATACTCCCGTATCTATGCCCTCTGCCTTTGTCTACCCGAACTGACCAGCGTGGTGAAGTATGGTCAAATAAGCCCCGCGAACCACGTGGCGTGGGGAGGCCGTCGTCCAGAAGTAGCCTGACAAAATCGGTGTGCAAAGTTATATTATAACAATGGGCTGTTAGATTGTTCTCTCATGGGTTGTCGTCCTTGTCGTGGTAGAGAAGCTTGTGTGCCTCCATGACCCGGAGAGCAAAGTCGGCGGGGAGCCTCAGGCTCCCAGCAGGCCCAACCATGCCGGACTGGTAAAAGAGTAGAGGACAGACAAAATGGACAATCCCTGGTCTTCCAGGTTGGGGGTTGGGTGTGGTGGAAAAAACATAATTGTTATGGGAACTGCAACAAGTACACATTTAATACCGGACCACCAGGAGGCACCTAGTCACGGAACTGGCAGGATGACCCTCTCCAATCAAAGCCCTCGGAGGGACGTTGGAAAGGTGAAAAGGGGCCTCCTGGACCCAAAGCACATCATCACGGTTGGAGCCTGTAACGTACGTTCCATGTACCAAACGTCCAAGACGGCCCAAGTTGTCCACGAGATGATACGCTACCAAATTGACATCTTAGGAGTAGGCGAGTGTCGACCAACTAAAAACCATGGTCCTGTCTTGGGGTGAAGCAGAGAAAGCTGCTAAAGACCGTCCGGCATGGCGTGGGCTTGTTGCGGCCTTATGCTCCACAGGGAGCGAAGAGGAGTAAGTAAGTAAGTTAGATCGTTGAAGTGTAAATCAGTGAAAATACGAATCCTTGTTTTGTCTTCCATTCTGTCACCATCTGGCTGGACGAGGTTTGCCATGCGCATGACTTGTGTCAACCTAGGAACGCCAAATCTGAGTTCTTGGCACAGAAATCCCATAAGTGCTGTGCATCCATCCTTAAACGACCCTGTCAACTCTTCCGTCATTCCAGGCAGCCACACAGAAGGACAAGTGCTCTGGTTTTCACACCTGATGATGAGTGCTTGTGTTGCAGTCGAAACGTCGTGAGAATTTTTATTGTTTTATATTTTTATTATTTTATTGTTTCCCTTCTACGTGGTGACTTAACCGAAAGAACCAAGAATATGAATCCCTGCAGTCACGAAAGCTTTAAATCAAAATTTAAAAGTGCTGCGCTGTCACAGCTGGGATGAAGTGTTTTTGGCAATAACAAAACGCGTGCTGCTCATGACAGTGCGTGTGTGTGTGCCCGGCTGGAACGCAGTTGACTCAATCCAAAGTAGGAGTCATGTTAGCACGTGTGTTGAGTGAGAAACCCATTGAAAGCTCCTACAGAACACAAGACAACGAGACGGTGGTAGTGTGTGGCATATAGTACCACCACGTGCCTGCCCGCCTTCGTCTCCCCGATGATAGTGATCGTGAAGTTAACGACACCGCCATGCGCACACATATTTTATTTTAGGTTGGGTCTACCGCACGGGGAAACCAGACCAGGTTGACCGAACGACTTTATGCACGATCTGCGTATCGTAGCTCCATAGTTGTGATCTAGCGGATGCCACTGATATTGTTGCACAGTGCACCAGCCACTGTGGCGTGAAATGTCGTGCAGATTAAATAGATTAATGTCGATTGCTAATTTCACGACGACATGGTCGACTCAGCCTTCAAACGAAATGTCTACCACGTGGTGTCAAAGCATCAGCACTGGGTAAACAAAGGTGGCTCGGTGTGGTGGTGGCCCGCACACCGCTTCTTCATTCGTTGCGCAGCTCTTAATAGGTGCTCACTGACAGCGCTTGCCACAACTGCTTATAGCAGGTGGGGGGGGGGGGGGGGCGGAGGAGGATCTTTGTCTGTTTCGTGTGCCCATTCAGTTCCAAGAACCTGAGTTTGATTCATGGCTACACTCGTTGCCCACCTGCTCGCTAACTGCGGCTGCCCCCAGTCGCCTTTAAGAACAATTGCGGAGGAGCTGTGGAGGGGGGGGGAGGGAGGTTGATGGGATCCTCAACGTTGTTTGAACCTCGTTCTGTTCGCCATCCACAGGTAGGGCAGAAGCCCGAGCCGAGCAGCAGCTGCATGTGAGATGCAGCGATGCCAACATCTTGTGTAAGACGTCGAACTCGGTAGGTGGAGGGTCGGCGGGTGGGCGGGCGGGCGGGCGGGCGGGAGCAAGGGCCAAGCGGGAGTGGTAGGGATGAATCTTGCACGGCAATGATAAATCTTACGGTAAAGCTGAATTGCAAAATGGGTTTAAACGTAGGAAAAAGAGAGGATGACGACGGCAATGACGATGAGATCATCACAGTTTGTGCCATTGAAAGTTGCGCCATTACTATTACGTGTTGTTGTCGCCGTCGTCGTTAGTTTTCATCCAGAGCCACGCGCTGTACGTATGTTGAATTTCTTCCACGCCGTACGTAGACTACCATGCTTATCTAAGGTGCGGGGCAAGGAGAACGAACTAAACACAAAAAGCAGTTCTGAGGAAATTAGTTTGTCAATCGAAATTTAAAAGTGCATAGCTCCAGTGGCTTCCTGATATCGGAAGAGCGTTCTAGACGGCCGCAGAAGCGCTTCTGAAAGCGCGCGCGCGATGCGGAGGACCGTCTTTGTTCGACATCGCTAGTGCCCCGTTGGAAGGACCACCTCTGCCTGCCGTGTCTCGCCCTCGCCCTCGCCCGCCAGGGCGCGTCGGAGCCGTGCGACATTTTCGTGAAGGTCTCGGGCAGCCCGTCGCCGCACGTCACCGCGTTTTTCGTCATGATCTACACGTGAGTCTCGGCGGCGGACACGCGGCGCGACCCCCCCACGCGAGCGGAGACGGGGCCACACGGCGGCCTCGTCTCGTGCCGCTTCGCTCGTGACGTGCGGGCGGGGATCCGAATGGAAACGTTCAAATGTTTGCGCATTCTCCGTTGGCGAACGAATGGCTGTGCGACAGCGATGGATTCTTGAATTGGGCTCGTGCGAAGGTTGGAGTCGTTGCCCCCTCGTATGCACGGCAGGCTGTGTTTCCGGCCACTCCAGTCTCAGCCGCTTCGATTGATTTTGTTTTGCAACACAGTTGCACGCTACTTATATCCATTAAACATATATATGGGTGGGGGGGGGGTGGGCGCCTGTCCGTGCATGATAAAGTATTTGCAAGCAAGCCTGACATCCAACCCTCCCCTCTGGTCTGGATCGCCCAGCCCAGTAAGTCCGGTGGGGAATCAAGGCAAAGAAAAGTGCTTGCTAAGCCTATTAACAAAAAAAACAATTGAAGACATTTCATGTAAGCAAGTAATTCTAAAATAATGAAACATGAGAAGAATTAACGAATCTCAGTGTGTCATTTACCACGATCAAGGCCGATTTATTGAAGCGCATGAATGATAATTCAGCCAGTTGCCGGGCTGCCATTATGACCACGTGACCCCATCCAGGCAATCAGAGCACGTGCGAGAACAAATATTTAAAAGGCTGACCAGATCTAAATTCAAGAAAGGTATAAACTACCTTCAGTCGTGCTGTGTGTTGCTGGCTGCTTGTGGTTTTGGGGGGTTTTTGAGCCATTCTCAACAACTGTGATTTTAACAAAAGAAAAAACGCAACAGTCACTCCTGGAACCCATATATAATGGTCATATAAATATTAATTTATGAAACACTAAATTATTCTAAAAGTATCTCTTTGACGTCTCATCGCTCCGTGTTCATTAAATAAGCGTGGACACCGTACATTTTGAGTCGGCATCATGGAATTACTAAATCATCACCGCCACGATCGGCATCACAAAGCACTAACGACAAATATCCCCTGTATAACCTTTAACAGACTGTCGGGACAAATGCTGTTATAGAGCACCTATTAAGGCCAGCAAGGCACACGAGGGGTAGGTGGCCAGCACCACGCCGAACCACCTTTATCTCCCTCGTGACGATGTTTACAAACCACAGCAGCTACTCAATTGAGGCCGAGTCGACCTAGGGAAGGTCCAGGACCGGTTCTAATAATCATCACTTGGCCGTGAGTGGGAATTGAACATGGGTCTGCTGGGTTCATAGCGCAGCGCGTTAACCACTCCACTACTACCACCCCCACCACCACCATCAAAACCACAAGCACCAGATCTAGGGTATTGTCCTGCTGATTGAACTCCACCATCATCATCAAGCCATGGATCGTCTTGTACAGATGCAAAGGCAACAGTGGTGTTAACTTTCGACGCCCACACTCTGCAGCGAAAGGTATATTTTTCATCATCATGTGCAGCGTCAGTCCTGCAGTGAATGTCACTCTGCAGCGTATGCTCCGCAACCAAAAGAAAAACCAGTGAATGCATGTACCATCTACGTTGGGCGTCGCCAGCTTTGAAATTAAATTCCCACCAGCCAAAGTGACATGCTCGCTTGATTATTGCACGCGGTGTTCCCTGGTGTGGCATACTTTTGTGCCGCTTCGTAATTTTAACATGGCATTTAAAATAACAGCTATCCCGATCTGTTTAAACTTTTATTTGAATCCCCCACCCCCCCCCCCCCCCCCCCCCCCCCCCATATATGTATATTATTACTTGGGGATGTTTTGCGTTCTGTAATCTTCTTGTCCATTACTCTTTTTGTCACGTGCTGTTGTTGAGATTGCCTACAATGGGTGTGTGTCGCCACTTATGCGTCTTTAGTATTTTACAAACTGCTCACCTCTTGTCCCACACTTCCCACTGTGTTGTCTGTCATCATCTTCCCTCTGTCATTCGTACTTCTGTTATTAGGCCCTCTTCCGCTGCGCATTTCGCTCCCTGCATCTACGCCTTTTGTTTAATCTCTCCTTCTATCCACCGCATCTATCACTGCCTGTCTTTATACATCTCATTATTTCTTCTTCCACTTTGTCTGTCTCTGCTTGCCTGCTTATCTTCTGGCCTGCCAGCATTTTACAATGGTTTGCCTGTATAGCTATATTTGTCTCTCACGTCCACCACCACACACCTCCTGCACCCACCCAACCACCCACCACACCACACCCACCCACCACACCCACCAACCCACACACCCACCCACCGCAGCAACCACCCACCTCGACCAATTCCTTATTCACTACCACCACCTCCTGCACCCACCCACCACACCGACCATTCCCCGCGCCTCCGATTACCACGGTTGGCGAGAACGTACGGCGCAAAAGAAGTTCAACGTACACACAGGCATACATTCTTCCTCCGCCACCCGCCCCGCGCACAGGGACCCGTACCACGCGGTGCCCGTACAGCTGTGGCGCATGCTGGTGCACTGGGTACAGCGCGTCGAAGTCTCCTGCCAGCTCGGCCAGTCGGCGCGCGCGTCTTTGCCGCTGCGGGGGACTCGCGCCCTGCGCCGGGTCCAGTGCCACGTGGCCCAGCCCGACGCCGCCGTCGTCGAGGTACGAGCGTGCAGTGGGCCGCTGGCGAGATGTTGACTACCTCGCCTGGTCTACAGGAGGTTCATGGGTTCCATGCCGACCCTGACGCCTGCTGTATATTTGGAGTTTGCGTGTCTCTCTCTCTCTCTCTCTCCCCATGGTGAGATGTTGACTACCTCGCCTGTTATACAGGAGGTCATGGGTTCAATCCTGACCCTGACGCCTGCTGTATATTTGGAGTTTGCGTGTCTCTTATCATCGTCATTATCACGGTGGCTCGGAGATGTTAACTACCTCGCCTGGTATACAGGAGATCGTGGGTTCGATCCCCACCCTGACACCTGCTGCATATTTGGAGTTTGCGTGTTCTGTCTCTCTCCCCCCGTGGTCGCGTGGATTTTTCTCCGGGTCCTCCGGTTTTTCCCTCCACGTTTAGAAACATGCGTTTAGAGTATTTGGCTGCTATACATGTCCACGTGATAAGCCACTTCGTTGAGTTGTCATTTGTGGCCAGGTCACTTCTGAAAAAGAGCCATACAGCTCAACGGGCCTTACCTGGTAAAATTTAAATAGTTATAGTAACTATAGGCAGACGGGCCTCCCGCATGCTCCAACAGTCATGTGGATGACTTAAAACCGAATGAGAGCCCATTGCCTGTGACCAAATCACACGGAATAAACTAAAACTAAACTTTTAATTTTGTCAGGTAAGGCCCACTGAGCCATATGGCTTCTTTTTCAGGAGCGACTTTCCCATAATTGATAGCCCAACGGCTTATCACGTGGAAAATGATAGCAGCCACGAATACTCTAAACGCAGTCCCTCTACTTATCAAGACGTTTTCGGCCAACCATTCAATCAGTGCGCATTTGTGCGTGTGGGATGAAACCGGTAGCGCCCCCGGAGAAAAAAAAAACCTACGGGGGTGGCTGAGACCCCGATTTAGAATCTCGACGGTGGTGTCGGCCCTGATGATCACTGAGCCGCCACCCCGGCCAGCTCTTCTTGAAAGCCGATTGCGTCTGCTAGCGGCGCCGCAACTTCAGCGTGGGGGTTTACCGTTGGATTTGAAGGCAGCGGACACGTGCGTCCGTATTTAAATCTGGACTTAACATTCATTTTTCATCGTCACGAATTGTTCCCCAAGTGCTTTATGCCCAGCTGGTTGTAGATCATACATTTCTGAGCAGATACTGTACGTTCCGCAGCGTACCGCAGGTAGGAGGCTTGTAACCAACCACCCCCTACCCCGCAGGGAATGATTTCATTATCGCAATACAGGGTCGTGAATTCATTGAATAATTATATAATCAGTTCCTCTTTTTCGTCCTCTTCTTACCGTGTATTTTTTGTTTCTCGTTCTTGCAGCCTCATAACCGCACTCATGTTTTTGTTTGTTGCGGTTGCACCCGATTCAAGATCCGAATGGCTCACAGGGCTATACCTAATAAATAAACTGAACTGAAACTGAACTGAATATATATTTTTAATTCACGGAAATGTTGCACGAATGTGATTGGCAAATTATCAGGCTCGCTATTTGATGCACGTGACCGTGAACGTCTTGACGAGTCAATGCATGGTTGCGTGCCAGCAACAAACCCTTGTTATGTAGCCAGGCAAGTGGACAAACGGGATCATCGGTGTAACAAATCTAAAGAAAACGAGTAGGCAGGCAAGTAAGGTAGTGTTCTTGTCGATAACCATGTAACAAAAAAAAACTACCAAGACACCAAGTCTTGTTTTTCAAGAGATGCGCTTGGAATATTGTGTTCGAGAGTAATTTACAGGGCACAAATTTCATGCCAACAACAAACCGGCAAATTATATTCTTCATCATGAAGGCTTTTTGGGGATCTATTATTTATAATAATTGACTCTTGCAGTCGGTGGTGCCAGACAATACTAGTTTATTACGAAAGTTATTTTGATCGGACTTGCCATCCAATATTGTAAGCGCTTCAGTGGATTATTATTTATTTTTAAGTTGTTATGCGCACAATAATAGCTCGTGATGCCGAGCGTCGCGACGAAGACGCGTTTTGCGTGCCGCATTCGGAATAGCTCTTAACTGGATGTAGCCGAACTCATCCCACTTGAGGTCAACAAATTAAGTACCACTTTGCAGAGAGTCTGCAGCCAGTGCTTGGCCCTTGGAAGGGACCGGACAATTGCCCTCTAACGTATCAGTTCCGCCGCTGGCTTGGTGGAAATGAGCGCCTGCCCTGCACTTGTTTCAGCGTAGAGACAATTGGCTCGTGTACACGGTGAGTGGTGCAATATTTGTATTCACATTTTTCTACGCTGTTATGAATGTCATACGCGCGGTTGAGCCCGGATGGTGCTTGGATGAGTGACTGCCTCCACACAAGCAAAGCTACGTGGAGGGCACTAGATGGTGGGTGGTGCAGGAGTACAAAATTGTTGTACTCTACTCCTACGCTTGCACGGCTCTACTCCCCCCGGCTTCACAAACCCGCACAGACCAACGTCGTGAAGTACGTATTGTACAAACGACCCCCGTGACTGACACTGCAGCGGGGTTAACAAAGGGACTGCGCATTTTATTTAATATAGTTCAACTTAAATCACAATTGTGAATCGGTTTCCCCCGATTTCCCGCGTGTGCGGGCCCAATGGTTATGTTTCACCCCCCCCCTCACCGCTCCCCGCGGAGCCCCCACCGCCACACTCATCGTTATCACCGTCGTTATTATTTGCGGCCACGGCGAGCGGCTCGCGACGAAGCAGCAGGCCATTGTGCCCCAACTTCTTGGGAGGGGGAAGCAATCAAGATGCCCGTTAATTGGTTTTCGCCGCCACCCCCGCCTCGGCGCGCCACAAGCCAGCGGAGGCCAACCCCCGCGGGGTCAAGGCCTGCGTCCAGAATGAGCGCCTGACGCGGGTGCTCATTAAGCGATTAGGAAATGGCAGCGTGGCATTTTGCGCAGACGTCACACGTGCCGGGGTCGGGGGGGGGGGGGGTTCAATCACGTGCCCGAGACGTGCGGCCCGCTAATAAGAGCGAAGTTGAGGCGAGGCAGCCGGGACAACCTCGCCCACCCGCGCTTCCTCGTGTTCCGAGAGACGACTTTGCGAGAGAGAGCGGCGCACGGTACCTCGGTTGACGATGACGGACAGAGTCTCACTCTCTGTCTCCCCTTTTATGGCCCAGAGCCAGTAGTAGAAATTTCGCGTTCCTATTACGGGGGAGGGGGAGTGGGGGGGGCGGAGGTGATTTCATCTGTAGGACAACCACCGTTGACTCGGCCACAAAATTGTGTGAAACTTTATTGACCCCCAGAGCGATGATGGGCTGAGTCAATCCCCGACCCCGCCGCCCCCGTCACCGCAACCAGGATTTGAGCTCGCAAACTTCTGATTATTAACCCGAATCCTGGCCGGTGATTAATTAATAATAATACCACTTGTAATTAAACTAAGTATGCAATATAAGCTCACCTGGGCCGGAGCGATAAGCCAGTGGCTGGCGCGCTGCGTTACTAGCCTAGCAACTGGAGATCGGTGCCTGGCACGGCTAATATCAGTGGCTGCTTTAGTTCAAACCCACTGCTGATGAAGTGCCATCACATGCTCAGTTTAAGGCTGAAATGAGGTCATGGTGGCCCAAATGCCAATACAAGCAGGGCACCGCGGTGGCGAGATGTTAACTCCCTCTCCTGGGATGCAGGAGGTTGTAGGTTCCATCCCAACCATGACGCCTGTTGTATATTTGGAGCTTGCATGTTCTTCCCTGGTCACGTGGGTTTTTTCTCCGAGTCCTCCGGTTTTTCCCTCCACATTTAGAATCAACGCGCGTTTAGACTGCTTGACCACTATAAATTGCCACACTATAAGGCACTTTGTTGAGCTGTCATTTGTGGCCGGGTTGCTTCTGAAAAAGAGCTATACAGCTCAGTGGGCCGTATCTGGTAAGATAAAAAAAAATATTTTGCAGTTTTACAAACATCGCCGTGAATACATGCATTCTGTATTCATATCTTGGAAGCTAAGCTGGCTTTAACCTGGTTTGTACTTAGATTGGAGACCGCTTCGGAGTACCAGGTGTTGTAGCCTTGAGCTGCGAAGATGACAAGAGGGCACTTGAGTCTTGAATCTCGCCTTGTTGAGTATTACCCCCACGTCGTGAGTGTCGATTTTCTCTTCTGAGTACTCCGGTTTGAGCCTATGTACCCAAACACTTGTTAAGGAAATCAGCCCAACATTGCAACGCAGGCAACCTCCTGAGCGAGACTCTCGAGTATCATTGAGGCTTTCCCAGGTAAACGAACAAAAAATTATTTTTCCGCAATCGGCCATAAATCGAACCGACTTTGAACTCGCAAAACAGGCCCCGCGCACGCCAGCAAAAAAAAAGCAAAGGCCTCAAAAGGGGCCCCAGAAATAGCGTTATCGACCCTCGTTTTGCAGAAGAAACAAATGAATGTGGAGCGAGTCGCCCACAGACATTCGCCCCAAAGCGCGTGGCCGGCGCTCAGATTTCATCATCCGCACTGGGAGCGGGTGGCGTGGTGGTGGTGGGTGGGGGGGGGGAGGGGGGGTTCAGTTGAACGATTGATAGTTTCCCACGCAATTCACATTAAATCAATTGGCCTCGGTTTGACGTGGCCTTTCTGGGCACGGGGGGTGGGAGGGGGAACCGAGGCTGTATCGTCGCAGCCACATTGCACGGCTTAAATTGACCCCCCCCGCTCGTATCGCGAGTAGCCCGCAGCAGTCTTCTAGCAAATGGGCTCGTGGCGAGCATTACACGGCAGGTTAAGGCTACGATGCTGCCTGGGTGGAGAGGTGTGGGTGGGTGGGTGGGGGGGGGGGCAGCAGGGGGGGACGGTGTGAGCCGTTTCTCCGCGTGACCGGCTTCCAAGCGGAGATCGCCCCCGAGTGTTTCGTTCGTAAGTGGGCTTTTTTTTCTTTGAAAAGCGCGCAAGTGATGTTCGAAACTTTCCGACTCGCTTTTACCCAGTTGGAAAGATCGTAAAGGGCCATGCAGCTCCCTCGTGACGGTGGGTTTCGCAGCGGTAATGATGGTTCACTTGTGTTTGCGTGCCAACGTAAGCTTAGCGGGTTTGTTTTGAGTAAGCTTGTTTGGGGCTTTTTGTTTTTGTTGTGGTATATTGTTGACGTTCGTATCGCCCGTGCATTTGTTGCAGAAATTATCACGGGTTTATTCCCTCCGCATTCGATAATCCCAACACACAAGATGATTTAGCTTTGTTTAACACCTGCTGCCCTTATGCTCGTCACTATTACATCCTTAAATATGAAATAAACCACTTAGCCGCGCGCTATCTCTCTCTCTCTCTCTCACCATAACCAGCTAGCACGGCCGCCGCCTGCCTTTCTAAATTTGCGCAGTCTGGTGGAACGGGTTGTTGTCCGCTATAATGCGGCCTCGGGCACTGTGTAGCGGGCGGTAAGGCATGGCCCGATGAGCCCTAATGAGGATGACCTATACACCGAGCAAGGAGTATAATACCCGCAGCATGTCACGGCCATCACCTGTATTGACTGCTAAAATTAACAGCGATCTTTCCAACATCAAGTCCCGGCCAAGGGGGGAAGGGGCGGCGCCGCAGTTGTCGGAGCTGAGTTCGAACCCCAGTCGCGGCTGACGCCGGTGGTGAGCGATGTCTGACCCGGTTCTGCGCCCACCCCCACCGCCCCCCCCGCGAATACACTTCAGTGGAAGCGAATAGTGGCCTTCTGAGAGATCTCTGTAAAGGTGACTGGCAGTGATTGAATAGGCAACTATTGAGGCATATGGCAATCGCTTCAGTGGGTTTGTAGGGAAATAGATTGCATTTGCATAATAATAATAGATCTACGAGAAAGTTACTGAAGCTCAGCGGCTGAGATGCAACAAATGTTGTCATTAAAATAGTTTCAGACGTGGCTTTAAATTGACATTAAAAAGCAGCTGCCACCGAGTTTAAACAGAAGCAAAAGGTAACACCGCAGGCATTAACGGTTTTCTCCCATCACGTGTCCATTGCCGGGCTGCGAATCGCACAACTCCGTACAGCCTTGATTCGGGGCTTCTCGGGAACCTACCCAGCGCACCGACTACCTTTTTAAAGACGTCATTTGGTGATGGCTGCGGCTACTGCCGCATTGGTGGCTGCGTTGGTGGCAGCAGCAGCAGCAGCACAATTAACGACAAACTCAACACACTCGACTTAACGCTGTGGCCTTAAAATGAAAACAAATATATAACAGGCGACATTGCGACAACTTGGCCTTCCTCGTGACGCATAAATAAGTAGACACACGAGACAAGCCAGCAACTGGGGCGCCACTTCAACCCCTCTTCATGTGGCCCATCGCAGATAGTCACAAGCGTCACGTTAACAGGCAGACCCTCCCAGTCACGTGACTCGGGGGAGCCAATCAGATAGAACCCGTGACATCACTTGGCTGGCCTCAATGCAAAAGGTTTCTGTTTGGTGTTTTTACATCTTGACACCTGTTTTATTGCCAGAAAGGGTAAAACCTATTCTTATATTCTTATACTCAATATAAATCACATAACATGTGGGGGGGGGAAGCGAAAATGTAAACATCGACACGCCGCTGTTTTGACATTCATTAGTAATTGTGATTGTTTGCATACCCTTTATCATTACAGTATCCCCTCGTTATTTACGAACTTTCTATCCACGATTTTGGCTGTCCGCGAATCACATCTGGTGATTCACCAACCCTCGTTACCTCCACAGTGCTGGATTACAGGTCACGTGAATAGCCAGCACTGCCCAGATAAATAAGGTGCTGTGGTGGCAAGATGTTAACTACCTCACCTGGTATGCAGGAGGTCGTGGGTGCGATCCCAACCCTGACGCCTGCTGTATATTTGGAGGTTGCATGTTCCCCCCATGATCGTGTAAATTTTTCTCAAGGTCCTCCGGTTTTCCCCTCCACATTTAGAATCAACGTCATGCGTTCAGAGTCTTTGGCTGCCGCTATAAATTTGCGTGTGATCACAAGCCACTTTGTTGAGCTATCATTTGTGGCCAGGCCGTTTCCGAAAGAAAAAAAAAACAGCTGTATAGCTCAGTGGGGCCTTACCCGATTAAAAAAAAATAGTTTAGTTCAGTTTAAATCGTTGAGTGTGACTACGACCGTCCGGTCACTGCCTTCCCCCTCTCCGCCCGCCCCACGCCCCCTCCAGGTATCTCCGCGGGACGAGTTCACGCTGCAGCCAGACTCGGTGCACGAGGTCTCTCTCCGTGTGCGCCCGCTCTCCGCCGGTACCCGGAGCCACCTGCTGAGCGCCGTCGACACGGAGTCGCTCACCATGCTCAACTGCTGGCTCGTCTGCGCCTCCTGCTCGCCACCCGTCATCTCCAGGGTGCGGCCCCGGTGCTAGCATGACACGACGGGCGAGGTGCCCCGGAGTGGCGGCACTTGCCACCCTCCAGATTTCTGCCGTCATTGCGGACAGCCGCCGGAAGCGATGTTGTCTGAAGCTTCTTTTGATGCCGTTGTCACTGCTATTTTCGTTCAGCTGCTGTTGTTTGCCGTGACAGTTGCCGCAAGTGTTGCTTCCCCGAGGGGGTAGTCAAGCCTGAAATTGTAAGCTTTTTCAATAGGGCCCAACATTAGTTTAAAATACAAAGAGTCAATATATTTTATTTTATAAATAGCAATTAAATATAAATTTTCACGGTATCACGGGGAGCGGGGGGCCATCACCCTTACCCCTGCTTTCCCCATCCCCCCCTCCCCCATTGGATCCGCTGTGCCAATATTACTCTCGTTATCTCGGCTGCTGGAAACATTGCTGTTGCTGCTTCTGTTGCCTTACCTGCAACTGCTATTGCTGCTGCAGTTCATGCAAAGCGTGTTACCGCTGCAACAATTCTTCACTGGGTCAAGTATTTGTGCTGCCGTTGCTGCTGCACATCCACCACCACCAATACCGGCACCACCACCACCACCACCGTCACACTGGGGTTGGAGAGGGCATCTACTCATTCAAGCTGCCTCCCTAAGCCCTGCTTCCCACCAACCCTCCTGGGAATTGAGCTTCCTTATGTCCCAGCAAATGACTGATTACAGGATTTAAATAATTACCATCTTGTTGCATTAATGCATTCGCCACCACTGTGCCGCCGACAGGAAATGGTTTTAATTTTGGCGTCACTGTTGCGAAATACCGCTGCTTGGGTTGTCGCTGGTCGTATTGGTGGGTCGTACCAGCGTGTCATTCGGCACGATGTCCGACGTTTCTCTCCGCGTGCTGGGAGCTTCTTCAGTTCCTATTTGTCTGCTTATTTCGTGGAGCAAAACGTCGGGACGTCGCGCCAAACAACAATTTACAACAACAACATGCGCTGCAACCCGAAAGGGCATCGCAGCGCTGTTGTAAAATGTTTTGGCAGTGTTTGTCTAGAGTGGAGAAAGTAGATGGGTCGTAAGGTACAATAGTGTAGGCAGTGGCGATGTAACCGTGCGTCGATTCATTGATTTAAACAAAAAATAACAATTGTGCTTACTTCCATGCAAAGAACCGTGCATTGAACGATTCACAATTCATGCACATGATGTGCAAATTATATATGCAGGATTTTATAGATTTGGGCTAATGGAGCAAGCACAAGTCTACGGATGGGAAAGCAAAGCATGAAAAGAGAACAAATGACGTGGCAACGAGAAGAGCGAAAATACATTTCCTTTGAATCGAATCGTAACCGCAATTATGAACATCTGAATCACTGCGTATGCCTGTTCCGTTACAGTCCATGTCCTTGCCTGTCAAATCGGAAGTTTACCAGCAATGAATCAAGCGAGTCTGGCTCTCCTGATGAGGCACTGTGTGTCGAAGCCGGTCCAGAGAATTTCCTTATCTTGAAACAATGCTGCTGAAATTGTACACTTCCCAGAAGGTTTTTGGGTTAGATCACGTTATTTATAAATGTGTCGTAACCCTCCACCACCCGACACGGCCAATCAGCAAAAAAGTGTCACGTTGACACCGGTGGTGAACTATTTGTCTTTTGTCAACGTGACACTTTTTTGCTGATTGGCCGTGTCGGGTGGTGGAGGGTTACGACACATTTATAAATAATGCGATCTAACCCAAAAACCTTTATTATGAATAATATTGGTCGCGAAAGCCTACGTGTTAAACTTCCCAGAAGGCCGCGCGACCAATGTGTTGTGTTAGAAATACTTCATTTTTTCTTATCTGGAGCGGTAGATATGTGAAGGAGGCATATAATATTTTTACTCTTTGAGGATACAAAGTATTAATTTGGCTCAGTGCTAAAATGTGGGCATCACGAGCCCTCATTATGAGAAATGGCTATGTAAGGAGACTCATTGTCTGCGTATTGATATCATCGCGGTACGTGGAGGTCAGAAACAAAGAGGACTCAATCGCGGTGCACAAGCACGGGCGTAGACTACGCCATTGTTGTCATTTGCAGCGCTGCTAAGTAGCTGACATATATGCAGTATATTAAAAGCGAGCATTAGCAGCAGTGGATCCCCTTATCTCTCTCTCTCAGATTTTATAGAAAAGGGGTTGCCCAGAAAATTATCCTATTGTATATTTTCAATTGCGGGGTAACCGTTTTCAAACGCAACTTATTTTAAGCCGAAATATGCATGGGTGAAATATGCATGGGTGCCCGTTAGCCTTTCGTTTCAACGTTGTGGAGTCCCATCGAATGTGGCTGGGTGGCACTGTTGAGAGTTCAGATTTTGATCGGGGGGGGCGGGGTCACGTTAGCCAATCATCGCAGAGGTCAATAACAATACCTACCATTTAGATGGAGGTCAGCAGCAGCAGCTGTCTCATGCAAAGAGTAGCCCCAGCCATGGGAAAATGGAATTTCTCCCACCAGCTCACGACCCACCAACTCACTGCTCACCAATAGACGTTATCCCTGCCCCGTTTGCGCTTTTTCAACAGAGACACTATCACCACAGACGTTTTCAACAGAGAGACACTATCACCACAGACGTTTTCAACAGAGAGACACTATCACCACAGACGTTTTCAGCAGAGAGACACTATCACCACAGACGTTTTCAACAGAGAGACACTATCACCACAGGCGTTTTCAACAGAGAGACACTATCACCACAGACGTTTTCAACAGAGACACTATCACCACAGACGTTTTCAGCAGAGAGACACTATCACCACAGACGTTTTCAACAGAGAGACACTATCACCACAGACGTTTTCAGCAGAGAGACACTATCACCACAGACGTTTTCAACAGAGAGACACTATCACCACAGACGTTTTCAGCAGAGAGACACTATCACCACAGACGTTTTCAACAGAGAGACACTATCACCACAGGCGTTTTCAACAGAGAGACACTATCACCACAGACGTTTTCAACAGAGACACTATCACCACAGACGTTTTCAGCAGAGAGACACTATCACCACAGACGTTTTCAACAGAGAGACACTATCACCACAGACGTTTTCAGCAGAGAGACACTATCACCACAGACGTTTTCAACAGAGAGACACTATCACCACAGGCGTTTTCAACAGAGAGACACTATCACCACAGACGTTTTCAACAGAGAGACACTATCACCACAGACGTTTTCAACAGAGAGACACTATCACCACAGACGTTTTCAACAGAGAGACACTATCACCACAGACGTTTTCAACAGAGAGACACTATCACCACAGACGTTTTCAACAGAGAGACACTATCACCACAGACGAGGCATGAGCCGTGAAGCAGACGCAACTAAATGTGGGATGCTTTCAATTCGCGGTTGCCCGGTTACGACCAATTTTTATTGTTTCTGCTTCCGCTATTTCCACTTTCGCAGGATTGTGCGGTTGATGATGATTAGTGCCAATTATGCCGCTGTTTTTTTTCTGATAATTTTGTAACGAGATAAAAAAATATACATTTAGTTTTTTTTGTTATCGAAATGGATGGAGATGGGCTGGAAGTATTGGGCCGTTCTTTCTGATGCAATGTTTCACCGCCGGCTTTATCGTGAGCACGTCAATAAGAGCGAGGCCCATAGGGCGTCAGAGCACAAGCCCCCTCCCCCCACCCTCCGTGGCTGTTACCACCGAATCGCCCAGACCACACAAGGTAGGTGTCTTGTCGCCATCTGCTGGCAGTGCATTCAGTGATTGGGGTTCCTACGGGCCCACAAAAGACAGTGGCGGTGTCAATCTCTGGATATTAAGCACGCCTTGGATAAACATGGCTCCGATATGTAAGAGACACGCTCTTACATTACGTTGGTTGGTGGCCGGGGGGGGGGAAAGAAAAGGCAGCGTCTGATATAAGCACACTCAGTGAGGTTTGGCTGGTAGGATGGGGATGGTTTAGTTTTATTTTTCATGTGTTTGGGTGATTTGCTTACTCTCCTTGTACGTTGCACTTCTGTCGTGTTTTTGTAATTGTTGTTGTAACCTTCTTAGCCCGTGCCCCTACTGGACATCTTTTTTTTTAAAGAGCATTATAGTCCATCAGATTCCTCCAATGTCAATAAATATTCTGATTCTGACCTGGACGAGAGCACATGAGCATACCTCAACCTCTGCTTGGAGAGTGCTTATGCCACAACTTCGACCCCAAAAACCACAAAGCGGGGGTGGGGGGACGTGAAAGTGTTTGATCTGTTTAATTATTAATTATTGTAAACAAGCAGAGCCACAAACAAGTCAAGGGCACCGTTTTTCAGTCAATAACATCAGTTGTTTTAGTTCAATTAAACTGATAATATTGATATTATTGGTTATTTCGGTAAAGTCACGTAGAAGGGAAACAATAAAATAATAAAAACATAAAACAATAAAATTCTCACGACGTTTTGACTGCAACACAAGTAATCATCATCAGGTGTGAAAACCACAACAAGAAATTTTGAAAAAGTGGCGGGTTTTTTTACTTTAGCACTACGGAGAGCGATTTGGCAGTTTGTTCAAATGGACGAGGCCATCTATGTTCGGAAAAGAGGAGGGGGACACGAAAATAATGTATGCGGTCTGAAAGCCACCTTAAGTGTGATCAATCAATTAAGACCCGAAATGGTTTATCAAATCCTTCCAATGATTGCTAAGCCAGAATCCATCTTCTCGGTTGAAATTGTCTCTGTGTTTGTATATGTGGATAGCCTCATGAACGAATCTCTCATGGTAGCCAGATGGCTTGCAAAGAACCTCTGTTTTGGAGAAGTCAATGTCATGTGAACCTACTGAATTATAACAGTGATCTGCCACGGCCGAGGTGTTGGTCCTACCGTATTTCAGGTCTGCTTTGTGTTCACGAATGCGGCCCGAGACATGTCGTTTGGTTTCTCCAATGTAACTACTACCACAGAGGCAACTTAGTTTGTAGACGCCAGGGTACTGTATGTCCGGAATCACATATTTTACAGATGGAACCAGATCACGGATTTTATGTAATGTGTTGAATCAGACTTGGATCTTGTGTTTATTCAAGATTTTGGAGATCTTTTCTTCGTGATCCCCGCAATGTAGGGTAAGGTGATGGTTTTGTCTGAAATCCTGCGGCCTTTCACTGGAAAAACCACCTCTGCGGTACAAAATTCTACTCACCTGGTATCGACAATCAAGAGTATTTCCCTGTCCCCAGACGACCTGCTTGTCAGTTTTGATGTAGTTTTCTTTTTCACCAAAGTTCCTGTACCTGACACCATCGCAATCATTGAAGACTTGGTTCATCAAGGACTAAACACTGAGGTACCCCCCCTGGTAAGACACTGCTTAACCAATACATAATTCACTTGGAATGGAACTTTCTACAAACAAACTGAGGGCACCCCAATGGACTCCCCCTATCTCCGGTTGTAGCCAACATTTTCATGGAGAAATTTGAGACTGACGCCATCCAGACTGCCAGTCTGCGCCCAACCTTATGGAAGAGGTACGTGGATGACAATTTTGTCATCTGGCCACATGGCTGGCCTGCTCTCAACCAATTCTTCGACCACATCAATTCCATACACCCAGCCATCAGATTTACCATGGAGGTCAAAAAAGATGGCAAGCTACCTTTTTTGGATGTCCTAATAAAAAAGAGACCTGATGGTTCAATGAGCCACTCTGTCTACAGGAAAGCTACCCATACGGATGCTTATCTGAAACCAGATTCCCACCACCATCCATCCCAAAAGAATTCCCTCATCAAGACTCTGCAGCATAGAGCCCAATGCATATCCGACCAGGAACACATAGCCAGTGAACTCAAGCACGTACACCAAGCTCTTAAGGCTAGTGGTTATTCCGACTACACAATCCGCAAAGCTATTACTCCAACCATGAAGAAGGACCCTCTTGAGGAGCCTTTCAAAACCATCACTTTACCCTACATTGCGGGGATCACAAAAAAAGATCTCCAAAATCTAGAATAAACACAAGATCCAGGTCCGATTCAACACATTACATAAAATCCGTTAAAGATGTCATTCCGGACGTACAGTACCCTGGCATCTACAAACTAAGTTGCCTCTGTGGTAGTAGTTACATTGGAGAAACCAAACGACATGTCTCGGACCGCATTCGTGAACACAAAGCAGACCTGAAACCAGGTAGGACCAACACCTCGGCCGTGGCAGATCACTGTTATAATTCAGTAGGTTCACATGACTTTGACTTCTCCAAGACAGAGGTTCTTTGCAAGCCATCTGGCTACCATGAGAGATTCGTTCATGAGGCTATCCGCATATACAAACACAGAGACAATTTCAACCGAGAAGATGGATTCTGGCTTAGCAATCATTGGAAGGATTTGATAAACCATTTCGGGTCTTAATTGATTGATCACGCTTAAGGTGACTTTCAGACCGCATCCATTATTTTTTGTCTCCCCCCCTCCTCTTTTCCGAACATAGATGGACTCGTCCATCTGAACAAACTGTCAAATCACTCTCCGTGGTGCTAACGTTGAAAAACCGCCACTTTTTTCTAATTTTCTTGTTGTGGTTTTCACACCTGATGATGATTGCATGTGTTGCAGTCGAAACGTCGTGAGAATTTAATTGTTTTATATATTTATTATTTTATTGTTTCCCTTCTACGTGACTTTACCGACAGAACCAAGAATTTGAATCCCTGCAGTCACGAAAGCTTTAAATAAAAAAATTATAATATTGACTTAACGATGTGCAATTGTATTTTCTTTCAATTGAGGAAACTTTTTTGTGTTCAAACTGCACGGATTAAATTAGTTTTTAATGATGCTCATGAGCAGTCAATCAGAAGCATTTAAAATGATAATAAGATTTTACACAAATCCCCACTAAGTTTTCAAAGCACGTATTCTTTGCGGAGGAGAACATTTACATCAGTATAATGTTTATACTGGAGGAATCCCATGAGCTATTAAGGTCTTTTTTGCAGATGTCCAGTAGGAGTGGGTCAGAAAGTTTACGCTGCTTTTTAATCACTCAATTGGACCGGTTAACAGCCCGGTTTTACACCAAAAGTCTCTCGTTCGAGGGAAACCTGGGGGGGGGGAGGGGGGGGGAATGTAAATGCATTGCAACAGAAAAGGTTCCAATTGGGGCGAAGACGATTCTCCAATTAAGTCCATTAACAGAGAAAACTATCATCGACGGCACCTCTTGTGGTTGGTCACTCAGGCCCTTTTAATAATAATAATTATTCCAGGTTATGTGGCGTTCCGCAGGACAGTATTCGCTCGCTAAACAAAATGCATTCAACTTTGAAAACAAAAACCTATTTGTAAAAGAGAGTGGTGAGCAGGCAGGCAGGTGAAGAGTCCCCCAGCCCTCAGCGACCCGGCCAAGGCTCAACGGCGGCTACATCGTGACACAGGGCGCCACGGTGGCTAGGAGATGTTAACTACCTCGCCTGGTATACAGGAGGTCGCCGGCTGTATATTTGGGTGTTTGCGGGGGTCTCTCTCTCTCTCCCCGTGGTTGCGGAAGATTTTTCTCCGGTTCCTTTGGGTTCCCCCCCCCCCCCCCCCACATTTAGAATCAACATCACGCGTTCAGAGTATTTGGCCGCTGCTATACATTTTTCCACACGACGATAAGCCACTTCGTTAACCTATTATTTGGGATAGCCAGGTCGCTTTCATGAAAAAGAACTGTACAGCTCAGTGGGGGCCTTACCTGCTAACAAACAAACATAAAAAACCTGGTAAGAAAAACAAAAAAAAGTCTATTTTATTTCTCTTTCCCACTGCCCCCCCGACAGGAGTTTGAGTTCCGCTTGCCGGCAGGTGGCGCCAAGGGATCCAGCAAGCGCATCAAGTACACCAACCCCTACGGGGAGGCCCGCAAGCTGGAGCTGCAGGCCAGCCGGCCCGACCTCGTCATCTTCAAAGAGGACATCTTCGAGGCACGTCGCACAAGCACACGTTGTTCCGCAATGCCTACGCGTGCGGTGTGTCGCTCCGTGCGGCACAGCAAGTTAACCCTTTCCCTCCCGTTCCGAGACGCCTGCAAGTTGCAGGGTGGGTGGGCCCCGTTCAACGCTGAATCTCGGGCCGCGCGAGCGGCTCAGCGTTGTGTAAGAATGTGTTAAGATGTTAAAGCACCAAACGGAAACCTTTGGCAAGGAATCCTGTCCGCATTAACCACAGCACAAGGTCCCATATTGTGGCTGCTCAGCCCAAGCTGTAAATGTCCTGATGGTGGATGCATTGTCTTTGTGCTGTTCACCTTTTGGCGTCCTCTGGTCGAACACTGTTTGAGACTAGGCCATAAAAAAGGTTGTCTCTGGTGTGGACCAATCAGTTTCAAAGACAATGCAGACATTACCAGAACGTGTTTTTGTTTGCATGTTCACCACAAGTATGTGTGGCTAATGCAGACAGGATTCCTTGCAAAAGGTTTATGTTTTAACATCTTTACACAACTGTTTTATTGCCAGAAAGGGTAAAACCTGTATTCTTGGTTTTTTCGGTAAAGTCAACGTAGATATAAATAAAAATAATAAAATTAAAAATAAAATGAAAGCAAAAAACCCACGACGTTTCGATCGCAACACAAGCGGTCTTCATCAGGCGGAGAGAAAAGAAGGCAAGCCTCCAAATGCAACTGCTTATAAGGGTTTCCAAAGTGAGTGGACGGGGGACGAGATTTGGGTGGACTAGAACTTGTGCAGCGTCATTTTATTTTATTATTTCTATTTTCTATCTACGTGACTTTACCGAAAGAACCGACGATATGAATTCCTGCAGTCACGAAAGTTTTAATTCAAAAGGGTAAGACCTATTCTCATATTTTGATACTGGCAAGAAAGGTCCCATATTGGTTCAGCGTGAATTGCATTTGGAAAGTGGTAGCGCCGCTTTTTTTAAAAGACATTGTACTCGCCGCAGAGAGCTGTAGCGACACGACCTGCACTCTATGATAGCTGGCGCCAAACCGTGCCACGCACCCTCCCGTGAGGTCTTTCACTTCCGATGATGTGCACGTGTGTCATCGGAATGGGAAAGGGGCTAATGGGAATTAAGATTCGGTAAAGATGCTTTGGCCAAGCAGCGAGCTCACTTTCCCATTGAGGCATGTTGAGAAGGGGTAGTCGTTAAATGTAACGGAGACGAAGCGTTATCCCATCCACGGAGAACATCGTGGTAACAAAGCACGGTTTACAACTCTTGGGACGTAGCATAGGTGTGTTGAGGCCTGTGGTATATTTAAAGAGCATCGACCGAAGACGGTAACCACATCGCACGCTTTCAGATGCGCTTCTGCGGCCATCTGGAACGCTCTTCCGTTATTAAGCAGCCACTGGAGCAATGCACTTTTCAATCAAATAGATTGACAAACTCATTTATTTAGAACCGCTTTTTGCGTTTAGCTTGTTGTCCTTCCCCCGTGCCCCCAATTAGTGCGGTTGGCTACGTACTGTGCGAAAGAAGTTCAACACACATGTGTGCAATTAATGAACCGAGTGGTCATTTTGTGGCGAAAGCACAGGCGACAGACTTAGGTCGGTGCACACCCTTCCTCCGCTCTGACAGCCAAAGGTAGGCCTGTCTCATTATTAGGTTGGCCACCTTTCTTGGTTGTCCCCAGGAGGAATAGCTGCTGTCCTAGGAAATCTGTGTTTTCCCAGGAAAGGACATCAAGGATATTTTATATATATTTTTTTTGCCATTTGCGTAATAATGCACCACTCAGGACAATGCGTTCACGTGTACTTCTGCCCTCTCGCTTCCGCTCTGCGATATTCTCTTCCCACGATATGCCCCGGGTTGCGTTGCACCTCGGAGTTGGCAACCCACATTGTTGTGGAGATCAGTGACGGATGTAGGTGATGTCACCGTCGTTGATGGTGATGCTAGTTACGCTGACGATGGTGGCGTTGTCTATCATCCTGTTGCTGTTGATGGCGAAACTGTTGCTGCTGCTGCTGCTGTTGCTGCTGTTACTGCTGTTGTTACTGCTGACGTTGCTGCTGCTGTATGTGCCGCTGTTACTGCTGATGTTGCTGATGCTGCTGCTTGCTGCTGCTGCTGGTGGTGCGGTTGGCCTCAGGTCGCCGCGCGAGGGGAGTACAGCATCGGCCTGCGCTTTGTGCCGGGCGCGGCGCGGGGAACGGAGTCCATCCTCATCTTCATCAACAACACGGAGGGGGACAACGAGGAGACACTGTGCGTGCGAGTCACCTACGACTGACGGACGGCTCCGTCCCGAGCTCTCCCCGTGGGCCGTGGGGCAGCTGGGGAGGAGAGGAAGGGAATCAGATGAGCATGCAACGACGCATCGATGCGCTGACTGAATTTTCTTAATTGCGACTCTATAAAATAATTTTTATTTTACCAGGTAGGGCCCACTGAGCTATATAGCTCTTTTTCAGAAGCGACCTGGCCACAAATGGGGAGAGAGACATGCAAATTGCAAATATATACGGGCATCAGGGTTGGGATCAAACCCACGACCTCCTGTATACCAGGCGAGGTAGTTAACATCTCACCACAGGGAGAGAGAGAAAGACACCGCAAACTCCATATATACAGCAGGCATCGCCAGGGTCGGGATAAAACCCACGACCTCCTGTTTCCCAGGCGAGGTAGTTAACATCTCACCACGTGGACAGAGAAAGACACACAAACTCCAAATATACAGCAGGCGTCATCAGGGTTCGGATCAAACCCACGACCTCCTGTAGACCAGGCGAGGTAGTTAACGCCTCGTCTTCACGGGCCACACTTGTGCCTCACATCAAGAAGGGCCTGGGTGTTCGGTTCCTGACTCGAGCACCTGACTTCCGTGTGGAGTTTGTATTTTCTCTCCATATTCTGCAACAGTTTACGCTAGGTTCTCCGGTTTCCCTCCCATAGTTAAATAACACGCGATGTATATAACTGGTATTGGCCAAACATCCCAATGATCAAAAATTACCTGCAAACTACTCAATTTGGATTACATGCAACAGCAGCGACATCGCTCCCGACTGTGAAACTCAATGGGCATTTCCTGGGTAAACAAACGAAGTAGTAATAATAATAAAAATATTAATGCTGTTTTGATTTAAAGCTTTCGTGACTGCAGTAATTCATATTCTTAGTTTTTTCGGTAAAGTCACGTTGAAGGGAAACAACAAAATAATAAAATATATAAAACACATGCCATTGACTTTTCCAAGACAGAGGTTCTTTGTACGCCATCTGGCTTCCATGAGAGATTCGTTCATGAGGCTATCCACATATACAAGCACAGAGACAATTTCAACCGAGAAGATGGATTCTATCTTAGCAATCATTGGAAAGATTTGATGAACCATTTCAGGTCTTAATTGATTGTTCACGCTTACAGTGGCTTTCAGACAGCATACATTATAAAAATTTCGTCTCCCCCCTCCTCTTTTCAGAATATAGATGGACTAGTCCTAAATAAACTGCCAATCGCTGCGCGTGGCGCTAACGTTTTTTTTTATAAATAAATAAATGCGCCGTTTAAAAATAAATTTATGCAAACCAACACACCTGAAGACGACCGTTTGAGTTATGGTCGAAACGTCGTGAGAATTTTTTATTGTTTTATATATTTTATTATTTTGTTGTTTCCCTTCAACGTGACTTTACCGAAAAAACTAAGAATATTAATGCTGTTTGTTTTTCTGATCGTTGCAAACCAATGGTCAGGGGTCGGGCAATCAAAATAACGAGCCATTTTTTTCGAATTCGGTCAAAAAAAAAACTCGTTTTCAAGAGCTACAATGCACTGTGAATACGAAACGGTCCTGAATAAATAACGGTCGTGGACAGCCTGTCCGTCTGATGATGCAAGTTGTAATCACTGGCGAAACGCCGTACTCAGATTGCAAATGTTGTGGATTTGCTCTCCAACACACCGGTGTGCTGTACTAGTAACGAATTGGCGCGTTCTCTTTACGTGACGAACCAAATTGGCTGTGTCGGGTAGTGGCGGGTTTAACGACAGTTACGCTATACAACCCGAAAAACCCCCCGATATTACGGATGATATTGGTCACGAAAGCCTCCTGCCACGTGTTAAACTACCGGTTACAAAGCGCTCCTTAAAGAGCAACCAGGTCGCCGACCCCTAGCCCGTGATGGAGGGGGTCAGAGGTCGAACTCGTATCGGATGGACCAAGATTAAACGGCCAGGGGCACGAGCAACGTCGGTCGCTTGCGTGTATTTGCGGGTCGTGCCTTTCGATGTCACGAACGCCGTCGCGACCTCCGCCCTCGGTCCTCTTTTGCGTGCAGCGCCGCACCGCTTAAAGAGACACACGCGCCCCCAAGCCCGCCACGCACATCCCCGGGTCACGTGCGTGATGGAGAGCGGCTGCAAGGGGAAACCCCAACGCCGACGCTCTTTTGATTCCGTCGTTCCGCGCAGGAAACTCTCCGTTAGGCAGCAGGCGAAGGTCCTGTCCGTCGTTGCGACGTTTTGCCCGCCGTGTAATTATTATTTTTGTGTGGGAGGCTCGCAATGAGTGGCACGAAATGCGCAGGAGCGAGTCACACCTGCTGCTGTCATTTAATTTGCGTGTTGTTTTCTCTCTTCTGCAACCACGCTTATTTGACCCGCGACGTGCCCTCCGCGTGTGTGCTCGACCAAATTAAAATGGCCATTAAAAATGTGCTTTTAATTTAGGCGGAGAGAGAAGCGACAGTCGCGGCGAAAACAATGACCACAAAAAAAGACAAAGATCCCAAATCGCCCGCCCCTTAGCAGAACACTGGGCCAGGCAGCGTTAGCGAGCACCTATTAAAAGGCCGCCGTAGCGCACGACGAGGTGGTGTAACCATGCCTACGCCTGGTCGCCTTTGTCTCCCCCCCCCCTCCCCCACCAGTGCTGATGTTTACACACCATGCCAGGTAATCATTTAAGGCAACCTCAGGGGAAACTGGCCCGCATATTACTCACAGCTGATATTAGCCATGGCTGGAAATCGCTCAGGTCGCCGGTTGCGTAGTACAGTGCGCTAACCCACTAAGCCACCCCTTCCCACAACCCGGCATAAACACACATGCACACATAGACACACATATACACACACACACATAAACACACATATACACACGCGCGTACGTCCAGACACACGCACCGCACACATCGACACAAAAGACCCCCAGGATAACCTTGCAGAAATTAGGAAGGGTGCTTTTAATGAACACTTATTAGAGTTCGTACAGCACAGTTTCCTCCCGCGCGAAGCTAAACTCTCGTCGTCAGCAATGGAATTGGCCAAACACCCAGTGGCAGGACTCCCCCCCCCCCCCCCGGGCCCCGCTCTCAAGAAAGAGTCTTGAAACTCGAGTGAGGCTTTCCTCAATAATTTAAGGACAATGTTTTTGTCTTACTAATGTTCACATTGTTGTAAATTGTCACCGGTGTTGTGCGTCACGGCAAGGGATGCAATCTGGTTCAAGGTGATCGTAGCAAAGTGAGATAAACTGCACCGCCGCTTCATGTAATCTAATTTATATAGAATACCTTCACTCAAGGCGCTTGGCATGGCTTACCAAACGGTGACAGAATGGAATTATTTCGTGGACAGGAGCGTGCTACACGGATTGAGGAATGAGTCACAGCGATGGAGGGTAGTTAGGGATTACGAAATGGCGATAGGGGAGGGACGGGAAGGAGTGGAGGGGCGAGGGAAGGGAAGAGGAAGCGAATGGGCAGTAGAGAAGAGGTGAGGCTTGAAGAGAGGAATGGAAAGAGGTTAAGGAGGGTGACTCCTTCATGTAGAAGGGAAGGCTATGCCAGTTTAGAGAGTTGCAAGGAGTGAGAAGGGGAAAGAACGCGGTTAGAAACACGAGCGTGCAAACCGGCACAAATACACGGCACGGCACTTAAGTGACGATGGCTGTGTATGAGCGTGCTGCGGGGAGCCTGGTTGCGGTGTGTAAACATCACGAACTGGGAGACAAAGGCGGCCGGGCGTGGAGCTGGCCACCCACTCGTGTGCCGTGCCTGCCTTCAGAGGTGCTCGCAAACAGCACTTGCCCCAAGAGTCTGTTAAGGCTGTAGGGGGGATCTTTGTGGGAAGTGGTAGTGCAGTGGTTAGCGAGCTGCACCTACGAACCCAGCGACCCGGGTTCGATTCCCGCTCACGGCCAACACTAGTGACGAATATCTGAACTGGTCCTGGGCCTCCCGTAGGTCGACTCAGCCTCAAATGAGTGCCTGGTGTGGTGTGTAAACATCGCCACTGGGTAGACAAAGGCGGTCCGGCGTGTATGCTGGTCACCCAACACCCCCTCGTGTACTGCCCCGTCCTTAATAGTTACTCGCTAACAGCATTGCTCTGTTAAGGCTATACGTGGAGTGTTTGTCTTCCTGCTCACGCTCTCAGCCAACACTCCAATTTGCCACGGTCATTTAAAACATCCAATTTCATTTGAATGTGGGAAAAAAAAACCTCTAAACGTGGCACGAAGCGCACATTAAATCGCGAGCGTGCCGTTGCACTCGATAAATTATTGGAATTTTGTAAACGTGTAATTATTTTTAGCAAATTGCATTTTTATATTGTAGATATATACACATGGTGCCTTGTTTGTATTTTGCCGAACTTAATGTCCCCTTCTCCCGAAATTTCAAACAAGAGTTTGGCGGAAACAGATTACCGAAGAGCGAACGTGCGCGGGGTGGTGGTGGTGGTGGTGAAGCGGCCGCGACTTTTTATTTGAGGTCTGTGCAGCGGTCACGAGATTATCCCAGTGAGGTAGCGTGACCTTGGGCACAGCCCAGAGCCCGTTCGTGGTTACTCCGCAGCCTTCTCATTATTGACACCTCCGTCTTGTGTACGTGTGCGTGTTGAACAGTTTTTTTTTATATGTTAGCAAGTAAGGCCCACTGAGCTATGTAGCTGTTTTTTTCAGAAGTGACCTGGCTGACACAAATGATAGCCCAATGAAGTGGCTTATCATGTGGAAATGTATAGCAGCCAAATACTCTTAAACAGCATGGTGAAGTATGGTCATACAAACCCCCATGGTGGCAAGGCACGGGGAAGCCTCCACTCGGCAATGCATAGACAAAGGGCTGTAAATTATTAAATGATGGCCGGTGGTCGCGACTAACGACGGAGTGGCAGCTAAAGGAGTGAACACTTTCGACGAGAGGCAGATGGAGCGATGAAATCGGCTCATGTGCCGTCACGCGGTGGATCGATGAACCGCGAGACCGTGGGAGATGCACGTACGCCGAACTTGTTTCACACCGGGCGTGGCCAGCCGTGCCAAGCGGCGGTGCGGGGAGGAGTACGACGAAATTAGACAAACTCGAGATAGCAGCGCAAGAGAAGGAGCAGGAGCCCCTTCCGATCTACGGTTACAATGGCTCGGACGGGGGGGGGGGGGGGGGGGGGGCTGTGGTGGTGGTTAACGTGCTGCGCTACGAACCCGGCCACCCGAGTTTGATTCATTTGTCTACGGGTAA